CTACTCCACCGCTTCGCTGTTATCATCCTTCATTGCTATCGTCACGCCTTTTGGCCCTTCAATTGCTATCTCTCCGAAGGACCAAACCCTCACGAATCACCGCTACTCCACCGCTTCGCTGTTATCATCCTTCATTGTTATCGTCACACCTTTTGGCACTTCAATTGCTATCTCTCCGAAGGACCAAACCCTCGCGAATCACTACCCTCACGAATCACCATAAGCACCCGAGATCCACCCAGTTTGAGTTAATTGTGTCGTATCTATTGTTATTTCAAATTACTGGGTGCCTTGTTGTTGCATTTTCTCTTTCAAGTGTTTTGGTTGTAACCGCTTATGTGCTTCAGTAATAATATGTTCTTGAGTTAACTTTGGTATCATTCGATATCAAAGCTAGCCTATTCCTAGTCCTATCATAGGGTTTCCAATATTCGCCCATACCCAACCCTAGCTCCACCCAAATTTTTCTTTCCCACCCCACGTCACCCCTACACACCTACTTCCATCTACCCACAATCAAACCCTAAACCACGCCAACGCCGAGTCAATTCCCGGAACCTAAACAAGAATTTACCATAGATGACATACAATGACTACTCCATCAAGTGCTATAATGACTCGATACCGGGAGTACCATCAACTGTAATAGTGAAATCCATGTAGAAGAGCAAGAAGTGCAATTGAATCCCTTTCGTAGGGATGATTTCAATGGAGAGGAGGATCGATCAGGGCGCTTCGAGATACAATATCAAAAAAGAGCAAGAGATGAAGTGCATGATTGAAGATATAAATATAAAGTGTCTATTGGATGATACAGAGACGAGGTGCATAGTAGACGATACTGAGATGAGGTGCCTGCTGGACGATACTGAGATGCAATGCCATTTGGAAGATACAAAGGTGAAATAATTGTTGGAAGATACAAAGATGAGATGCCTGTTGGAAGATACAAAGATGATGTGCCTATTAGAGCATACAACGATCTAGGAAGAAAAGTGGACCTATCGAACTTCGAGGGGAGAATGAAACCAAATGATTTTCTTGAGTTGATGCAGACAATGGAGCAAATAATTGAATAAAAGGAGGTGCTTGATGGCAGAAGAGTGAAGCTCGCCGACATTAAACTAAAGAAGAACGCTTCCTTGTGATCGGAGAACCTGAAGTAAGAGATATTAGGAAAAGGATATGACAAAATTACTTCTTAAGAAAAAATAAAGAAAGTGATACAGCGACATTACTTACTCCTGCACTTTCATCAAGATGTTTTCTTGAAACTTCATTACTTGCAGCAGAATGAGCTATCAGTGTACAAGACATAATTTATGTAACTTAAGTTAAAGTGTGAGCCGAATGAGACAGAGCACACCAAAGCCAAGCGCTTGGGAGGCCTGAAGCCCTCAATTAGAAATGTGGTCCAACAACAAACCTATTGGACAATAAGGAACGTGCAAACCTTAGCACTGAAAGTGGAGAGGCAACAAAAGCAGAGCAAGAAACCACCGCCAGTCAGGCAACCACGCACAAGGGGGAGACCTCAAGAGGAGCACGTCTCAAGAAGTGGATCAGATTGGTTAAGAACAGAATAGAGAAAATTTGAGTGAAAAAAAGTCTGAGAAGAATAGCATGCCCACTACAGTTTCAGCTCGAAAATACTTCAGATGCCATGATTTTGGACACATTACTTCCAGTTGCCCGATGACAGTGAAGGAAGTTA